TACATTTACATGTTAAATTACTCTATTATAATTAATAATTAGAACTTAATTTATAATTCTTAATTATTTAAATTACAATATTAATTTTTACATCTTTACAAAAATATAATATAGAAAATATAATATTTTAAATCATTTTAATTATAATTTAAAAATAGAAAATTAAAAATAAAAAAACAGGCTGGTGAGCTGGAACTTTCTTTTTCTTTTAATTTTTTATTTTTATAATTTGTTTATATGTATTTTTAAAAAAATTAAAAACATATTTAATCATTTAAATATTTTCTAAGCTTTTAATTAATTAGTTAATATTTTTAGTTGAGTAAATTAAAATAATTATTACATTTACATGTTAAATTACTCTATTATAATTAATAATTAGAAGTAATTTTTAATTATTTAAATTATAATATCATTTCATTTACATCTTTACAAAAATATAATATTTTAAATCATTTTAATTATAATTTAAAAATAAAAAATTAAAAGTAAAAAAATAAAATAGGCTAGCAGGTTCGGGTGAATTGCCCCATTCTAGATCTCCAATTTGACGAATTAGGTTAGTCGAACCAAAACGGGTTGACGAGTTGAAAATTTCATTGTAGCCCATTCTGTTTTGGGGATTGAGAATGATCATGTGCATAACATGGGAGCATACGATGAAGTAGGTTTGAATGCAACATAAGAATAAGTGAGTGGAAAGTGTGATGAGTCTAGGCTAGCAATTTACAAATTATATTTTTCTTTTTCATTCATGTTGCTTAATTTTAGCATGTATAGGTTTTTTATGTCAAACATTTGGATTTTTCTCGGTTTCATTCAAGGTCTTAAGTTATTCAATTTAAGTTTTTTTTTAGATTGTGGATGTGATTATTGCATACTTAAGCGCTAGACCACTAGCACTTGAACTCATTGCACTCATTATACGAGTTAAGGATTTGGTCTATTAGATCATATTTGTTTTAGCATATTAAATAACTCAAGATTTAACGATTAAATTACATGATTTAAACATGTAGATGATAGTTAATAATTAGATGCCTCAAATTTTGAAGAATATGATATTTCAAATATCATATTTTTAATTGCTTTTATTATAAATCATTTATTGTTTATAATTAAGCGACTTTAAAATTGTTAAAAGAAATTGGTATGTTAAACTAAAAATCAGTTGGAAAAATTAACTTGTTTACCATTACCAACATGTGTTCTAGCACTCCTATCCAATATGCAATAGGACATTGGTTATTGTAAGCTTTGTTATTGTGCAAGGAATAGTAAAATGCCATGGATCTTCACACTTATGTGGCAAACTAGATTGGGATAGAGATAACATTGTTTGGAGATGTCCTTTTGTTGATTTATCTTGTAAGTGCATAATTCCTTAAAAAATTTAGCATAATTGGGGATAGTGATGTCAAAATAAGTAACCCAGTCGGACCCATCACGGGTTGGTCACTTAGTGAGCCAACCCAACTCGACTCACTTATTAGTGAGTTGAAAAAATTTGAACCCGACCGGCCCAATCCACCACGGGTTGGTGGGTTAAACGGGGTTGACTCACTGACTCACTTAATTACAATTTTTTTTCAAATCCAAAAAATAATTATAATTTTTTTGTAATTCAAAACTAAATAAATTTCACTCTAAAATGATATGAAACTCAAAACACAATTCAAAATAAAATAAAAAAAGTACCATACAATCCAGATGTAATCCAAAAGCAAGCATAAATAGTTTCTAATATTGATCATTTTTGGGTCACTTATCAATTTATAAGATTAGATTCTTGAATGGATAAATCCATAATATTTTGCTCTTTCAAAACAATTTTTTTCTTTATCTCATCTACAATACGATAAAAAAAGTGTTAATTAATAATATTGAATTACAAAGTAATAAATAATTAAATTAGGTGGATTGGTGAGCCAACCTGGCTTACCACGGGTTTAACCCAGGTGAACCGGGTTGAAAATTGACCCGTATAAAAAATATACATTTTTTCAAACCTAACTCGGCCCGAACTTGTGGTGAGTTGAGTTGACCCACGGGTTCTAACCCATTTTGACAACACTCCTTGGGAACATGCTTGATTACATCCAACAATGGAATGTTGATTTTCACTTTCATGAACATATCATTAACTTTTTCTCAAACCCTTGTTGCTTTACTTTATTTACTTAATGGCCAACTGGCCATGTTAGGCTTAGTTGGAATGACATTATTATCAATTTAAGAAAACTTTTTATCAACATTTGAGTGATCATCATATCAACAATTCGTTTAACCATATGTGTACATAATTTTTTTGTTTGTTATAAGAACTTACATTTGTGTTTTTCATAGGAGATGTGTAAAAAAATAGAGAAAACTGCAACAAGCAAGTAATTCCTCATACCGGTGGTTCTAAACCTATCTCAAGAAGAAGGCATGAGATGGTAGTCATATTAGTAAACCTTACAACTTTTATTATTATTTAAAGTTTACTATTTATTTTAACATATCTTTTTATTTACTTTGTGGAAATTGGACAACTTTCTAGTCGTGGAAGGGTATACATTGAAACTCATAAAAGAAAGGATGAATCATTTGTAAATGATGCGGCAAAGGATATAGTGGTTAGTTGAACTATAGTATGCTATTTTCTAACATTTTCCTTCAATATTTAGAGTTTTAACTAGAAATTGTTACATACCTATAGGAACAAATTGAAGTGGGTTTGACTCAAAGCGATATTGATGAATGAGAGGTTTTTCCTAATGATGTTGTTGGTAGAGTTTTAGGCCTAGAGCATTCTGGGAGAGTGCGATGCATAGGTTTAGGAATAAATCCTACTAACTCATTTAGAAATACAAGACTTCAATTTTCAGATTTAAGCCTTGCTTCATCTACCACTACCACATCATCAACATCTTCTCATCAATGGGAACAAAAGTACACCAATTTAGAATCCCAAGTTCAAACGACCTTGGGTGCCACCGGTCAATCTAGTATGACGGATAATTTTTATACGTCATAATAGATTCGTTATAGAAAGGTATTTTTGCACTAGTGACTAAAATCATAGATGATAATGAAGGAAGGTAAAATTCCTGACGAATTGACCACCTTCTTTGATCGTCAACCACAAGTAAGTTACTAAACAAGTTGATTCATTATGCTTAATATACTCTAAGTGGACCTTAAAATCTGGTTTTAGTTTTTTTTTTTTTTTGTGTTTCTATTATGTGTAGTTAGAATGAAATTATGATTTTCCATGTTTTGTGATTTTTTATATATTAGCAAAATTGGGCAAGTGTGGATGTGTATGAATGCATCCATAAATTCTCAAATTACACTTATATCGTTTATTATTTTATTTTAATATTTTTCTTTTATCATTTCAGGAAGTTGTTGATGCAAATGAGTCTGAGTCTCCTTTGGGTACAAGAGGATCGTCTCATGCTAGCAACATTTAAGGTGTTTTATGATGTTTTTTTGTGATAGAATTTTATTTAGTCTATTATGGATTTTTAGTGATTATGGATGAAGTTATAATTACATTTCAATTGAACTTACTTTTATGTTATTATGATGACATTAAGAATAATGTTTTAATGATATATATTTGAACATTTTGGTAAAGAAATTTGTCATGATTTTAGTCTTCATTACATTATTTGAATCTTATTACAATTAATTATTATTGATAAAAATATAAGCACCTAAAATGGTGATAAAATAAATAATACAAAAGAGACAAGTTAAAACTTTTACTATAATTGTCAAATTAAATAGTCTATTAATAAAAAAAGGTGAAAAAATTGAGGTAATCTTTGAGAACAAAGGAGGTTTTAAATCTCCACATAATAAGTCATTAATAGAAGAGGTTAAAACCTTCCATGATTGAAAAAAAAAAAAAAACATCCACTAAATAATTGATTTGTTATGCATGAGATTTTTTTTAGAAGTCCACCTAAACAAAAAATCGAATTCATTAAGCGTGTGGATGAAATTGACGCACCAAATTGATTATTTGTTCATCTGACTAATGCTTTACAATGTATTGAAACATAAAACAATACCCCAGTTAAGATTTTAAGTGTTTGCTAGAGAAACTTACGCCGAAGAGATTTAATTATTAAAAAACGACTAAGAAATTGATAAAACTAAATCTCCGAAAATACCTTGTCAATTACAAGAGGAATACTTTTTGTTGATGTCAAATAGGATTTTCTTAATAATATTATTACTGAGTTATTTTTATTTATATTAGTAGGATTATTTTTGTTGTTGTTTTAGCTTATTGTTATTCATTGTTCGATATTAGTTAATTTTTTTTATTAATTTAGGAAATTTTGTTCTGGACGGATGTGATCTAATTGTTTATTGACAAATATCATTATTATATTTTTTCATGTCTACAATGATATTTTTTTCTTGTCAAATGACACTAATTTATTATCTGTCAATAATCGTTAGGATTTTTTTTATATTGATTGGAGAAAATTTTAATCGATAGAAAAGTTGGAAAAAATATATTTTACTAATGACATCGTACAAATAAATTTAACCAATTTCCGTTATGGTCGACACCAATGGAAAATAATCTCAATTGCCATTACTATAGAAAAAGTTTTGCCAATATCATTGAATTTTTTTAAGACACTTTGATTGAAAATAACATCAACTAAGATTGACTAAAAAATGTCATCAATATTTATATTTTTAATTGCCAATAATTGTTTACTATGTTCATAATATTTTAGTTAGGTGATAAATAAAATACTTTATCAAAATAAATAAAAAATTAATTAATTTAAATCACTTTATCCAAATATAATATTTGAAAAATGAAATAAGTTAATGTACTAAAAATTATAAAATTATGAACCTAAACAAAAAACGATGTTCCCATCAGTAGTTGACAACAAAAACGGTAGGTTAATTGTACTTGGCTATAACGTCCCATTACAGACGAAATTAGTGTAAATTACCCTGATGAATGAGAATGTATATATATAACGTATTAATGTGTATACGGAATTCAAAAATAAGAATCTGTATACAACATATTAATGGGGGGACATTACAATATGAAAAATTTGGAAGAAATTTCTCCCTATGTTAGGGAACTAATACACTTGAATAATTTAATACAACCTCAAAATTGGAAACTGCAATCAGAATAGATAGACTCAAATGTTTTTTGGTGTAGTTTTTCAGCCTGTTGCATGGTTGTGCTACTTTATATGAATTGAATAACCTTCCGAAGAACCTTGTCGTGTGTGCTGTCCTTCTAACTTTGTTAGTGTGCTCTTCATTGTTGAGGTGTTTACAACAAAAATGCATCTAAAGCGAGCTTACTAATTGTACATGCCTACAGGTTAAGTTTGTAACTGTACGTATAATTAACACAGGTACTTATTTCCTAACATGAAATATCATTTCTCTGAGAAGTATATATAGAATACCTGAGTTTTTCTTCACTGATTTTAACTATGGCTGATGGTGGAAGACGACCTGTGCTGATTGCATGCACTGCTGAGAAGAGAGGAAAAATGTGTAGCCATCCGCGACTACTTAGAACCTCATGCACCTCTTTTGCAGTTAAGACACCCTTAACGAAGAAATATCCATTCATAAGTAACACATTAATATCAGACGATAGATAGACTCTAATAATTCTGATACATGTTAAAAGATGGATTTAAAACCTGACTTTAACTCCACAAAACCAGTGTGTAAAGTGAGATTTATATCCGCTTATATGTCATAAATTGATTTTATCTCTAGTTGACGTGGAACTTCCAACATCATGCATGAATTATTACTGTATAATGCTACGTTGGTTTACTTTTTGGCAAAAAGAGCTTTGAGGGATATAGAAATTTACACCAGGTTTTGATTTTTAATTTAAGATATATTTTGTTCATAAAAACTTCCTGATACTTTTCCAAATTTATCAAAATTGTTTTGGTAGATACATCTAGCAGTTTCGTAAGTCAAGTTTCACCTATGTACCTGCAATTTCTGGCCTTGAAGCATCTCTGCTTCAAGCTCATCAAAAGACCTGCAGAAAGAAGAATGAAAAACAGGACAAAATTAACTATATTTTACTCATCCAAGAATCGTGGATTAGGAAGAAAAAACACACCTCTTCCCTCCATTTCTGGCATAAGCATCGGCAACTTTCCTATTTCTCCCTCCCACTGCAATAAATAATACAGTTTTAATGAAACCGAACCGCCATAAATAAACGTTGAAAAATAAGGTGAAGCCTTACTGCATGTTGTGATAAGATCAGCTACACCACAGCTCTCAAAAAAGGTACTATCCTTAACAGATGGAAAACACATCTTTGAAAATGTCATCATCTCTTTCAGGCCAATTCTCATTATTGCAGCCTACATATATGTATAAAATAAGAAAACCTACAACAAGAAGCTGGGGGAAGGGGGAAGAAATTTTCTGAGCCATCAAATCCTTACTTTTGTGTTATTCCCCATCTCCAAGCCATCAACAAAACCTGTCCCATTTGCATCCAATTTCTTGATCATTAACATTAACTACAAAGGGGGAGAATGAATTGCAAATACTAATGTACTGTACTACATACCTGCAGCTATGGCCACAGCATTTTTCAGAGTTCCACAGAGTTCGACGCCTTCAACATCCTGGACCTAGTAATGATAATGCAAAAACCACATGCTTGAAGTGTGTCTCATAACTTACAAGTTTAAAATTACTCAAGATTTGTAAACAAGTAGGAATAACCATTATAATTGAATGATTTTTCCATCAGGATAGTTTTCCCTATTACTGATTTCATAAGATTCCTAGGGATTTAGCCAGATTTTTTCCCATTCAAAACTAATTGTCCAAGTTTTTCACTACTTTGTTTGCATATCAACGTATATACTCACAGCTGTCACATTGAAATAAGGAGTGCAAAACAACTGAACCCATCTATCTGCTGCTGATTTGTTTTGATTATATCCAACTGTTGCTTCACTAAATTTCTCCATTGCTATCTGTTCAAACAGTGAACATCACAGCCTCAGTTGTTATTTATAAGTTTCCCCAAGTATGTAGATTAAACAGTCTTGTATCTTGGTACCTCATTTGCTATGTTGGCCCCCATTAAAACTGAACAATTAATTCCTAATTGTTTGGTAATGAGATTTGAGATCAAGCTTGGCCCTTCTTTCTTGACCTCCATCCCTTTGATAAGAGAAATTCCCTCTGCATCTGCCCTTATTTTCCCTGCAAGCCTCTTGCATATTCCTTCCACGAATTGATGTGGGGTTACAAACACCAGCATGTTGGCATCCTTAACTGCATAATCAACCATTCAGAGCAGAATACAAGTTATCCATAAAACACAATTTAGAAATCAAAATCGAACAAAGGTACATAGTTATGGAGTTTTGGGTTCTCTCTAATAAAAATATTGGCTCTTTTGGTACCTGCATTTTCAAGGTCTGGATCTGCAACAACATTTTTACCAAGCTTAATCCCAGGGAGATACTTAACATTCTCCTGGCAAAAAACAACAGTAAATTATTTAATATTGACTAAACAAAACAAACAATGTATGCTAAATGTGAATGAAACGCTTGACTGGCCTTACATTGGTTTTGTTGATAACATCTGTGAGCTTCTCCCCGCTTGGCAATTTTTCCTCGAATACCCACATTCTCACTTCATCTGATTTAAAACCCAAGAATTCATTAATCGAAATACGAAAACTAACATACAAATTGAATTGAAATGATATTGTTTATGGTGAGGGGAGATGCATAGAGTTCAATTCTACCGGGTCAAAAACTTTATTTCACTTTAATAGATTCGGGAGATATTGAAAATAAATTTTTTATTGTTTATTTAAGTGGATTTGAAGGTAAGTGAGAGTGAATTTAGAAGTAAAATTTGTAAGAATTAGTGTAAGATTTGATTGATCTGATAGATTAAAAAAATTTACTTCCAAATACTTTCTCATTTACTTTCAAATTCACTCAAATAAACAGTAAAAATTCATTTCATCAGTCTCTCCAAGTAAACCAAGTAAACAAAGTTTTAGTCTTTGTTTTTGTGGAGAAGCCTCGTGGTGGTGGTGGTCTCTTTTTCTTCTTCTTAATTTGATCTTGTCATTTTAAAAATGATTAATTAGTTTTTTTCGTTAATCCTTTATCGTTGTTACGTTTTGTAATTTTTTAAAAGAATTTTAATTCTTTAATTCGTTATAGAATTTTACTTCAAAATTGTGTTACATAATGTTGTTAATGCGACAATATAGTAACCTGAAATGACAATGTCACGTTCAATTTAGATCTCAAATTTATTTTTTATTCAATTTAAGTAAAATGCACCCTTTTAAACTCGAATAAAATTTATTTTTATATAAATTTTATGTTTATATTTTATTAAAATTAATATTTTTATTAAATATTTTTAAACAAATATTTTAAAAAAACTTTAAAATTTATACTAAGAAATAATTTTTGAATAACAATTTATAAAATAATAAAATTATATATATATAAAGTATTTAGATTCAATAATTTCAAGAAAATATACTTTTTTCAATTTATTAATTTTCATTTTCTTATGTATTTGTTTGTTTGCTCAATTTATGTTATATTTCAAATTAAATTCAGTAATCACATTCAAATTTTAATTAATGTTAACTTCACATTAAATTTAAAGTAATTTAAAATTATTTTAAAAAATATTTAATAAAAATATCAATTTTAATAAAAATAATAATATAAGATCTATAAATATAAAAATTTTGTCTCAAGATAACATTGTTTCATATTCATCGTAATTGAATCAGAAAAGAAAATTAAAGATTAAAATGAGACTATGTCATATCCGGTAACACAAATTTGAAGTGACACACGAAACTTTTTTACAAGAATATATAAAAAAATAAAAATAATTAAAAAAACAAAAGTTGATACATGACAATAAACAGAAATAAATTCGTGTATACGAGTATTCACCTATAAAGTAGATAGAAGTGTATTTTTTTAAATATTTGTGAGTTGAAAACAGAAATCTTAAGTATCCGCGGGTTGTAAAAAATTTATAATTTTTTTACGTAGGTATACGCGGATTGTAAAAAATTTATAATTTTTTTATGCAGATATATATGTAAAATGGATATGATTTGAGGATTCTCCCTACACTACCACACTCTTCTCCATACACCACCACACCCTTATCTCAATTATTTTTTATTCCAAAAATAACCTTCAATAAATCTTTCTTTTACTTTTACCCTATTTAATATAAAACCCTAATCTTCTCTCCCTTTCACTTTTGCGCTTACCTCACACCCCCATATCCCCACATCCCAGAGATTTCTTTCTCTCTTCTTCCTACTCTCTTCATCTTCCTCTCCTTGACATTCGTTTCCTCCCTCCATTATTTTGTCTTCCCTTCCATTATCTTGCTTTCACTATGTTTGAGGTTTTCGAAAAGGAGTGTGATTCGTGCTTGGTTTCCTCTCTTCAGGTTGGTTTCCTATTCCTTTTCATTTTCTAGTTAATGCTTTCTCTCCATTTTGTATGGTACTGTAATTTTGTATGATATGTGATGTGTCAAAAGGATTTGTGTCCATTTTGTTTGTTGTTGTGGTATGATCTATGTTGTTATTAGTGAAACCGTGAAGACCAAAACGGAAATAAAAGATTCGTTTGGCCGTTGACGAATGTTAACATTCGATGAAGGCCAAACTGATCTTTCATTTCTGTTTTGGCCTTTCGTTTTTTTTTTTTTTGCTTTATTATTTTAATTTTTTAAGCTTTATTTATAGATTTATATGTATGTAATTGATTTAACTTTTTAAGCTTTATTTATTTTTTCTCTTCTTCAACCACCACCATTACCATACCACCTTCTTACACTACTTTTAAGAAGTTGATGCCCAAAGAGACAACAAAGAACCACGACCTCCAACAACAAGCACGAATGCAATAGCACAACGTGGAGGAGCAAAGAAATAGCACAGTGAAGAGGAAATGTGATCTCTATTGGGGGGATGCATTACATTTTATAGTGGGGACCCCTCTTAATAGGTGGTTGGACGTTGGTGCAAAGTGAATTTTTTTACCAACCATCTTTAACTCTCGAATGAAGATTAAATGTGAAATTTGGTGGTGTAGGAAGAAGAGTGTGGTGGTATGGGAAGAAGCTCTCATATGATTTTTGCATGTGGATTGAGTTATAAGTAAACATTATCTATGTTCAATTCGACCTATTGTCAACCCTATCTATCACTTTAACACCATTTGTCTAGTACTAATAAAATGCCCAAATTAAATGAGTTCTAAAAGTATCTAAACAAATTAAGACAAAAAAAAATTTTATTTTATTTTTTTTTATAAAAACAAGAACAAAAAATAATTAAACCAAACTTAATATACCAATGCTAATTAAGGAATTGTTATACATTGTTATGCTCTTGCAAAAACATAGTGTAATGGATGTGTTTGCATGTTTGTCAATACTATTTCCTTTTGTTGAGTTAGGATTTAATTGTTGTGCTTTATTTATTTATTTTACATATTAATTTTCTGATTAGATATAAATTCAATATATGTTTATTTATATAACTTGTTTATTTTTATGTTTTTTGTTTAAATTTTAAAATCAAAGAATTTAAACTCACTAATTAGAGAGAGAACAAATAGGATATAGACTTAAAAACGTAAAAGTAATAAAAATGAATAAATAAAATAATAAGAGATAATTAGTTATGAACATGATAAGAGGACACTAAAAGTTATTATATTTTTATTAGTGTAGTTTATTTTTTTTATAGTCAAAATAAACCGTTAAAAATAATATTATTTAATGACACGTTACAATTTTTTATATTTTTCATTATATATTAACATTTTCAAACTTTTTTTAATAATTTGATCGATCTAATTATCAAAATAATTTACTTGTACATTTAAACCTTTTATCATATCTTAAAATTTGAAGGTATATGCTTATTTTTCTGCTATATTTTGCTTTCTCCTTTCTTTTTTTCCCTTATCGATTCGGATCACTTTAATAGGAGCTCTTGCTCCATTAAATTTTGATTGAACCATAGTGCTTCTTACAGATATAGTTATCTCATTACTTCTATGTTTCAAATCCTCTCAAGTTCAGAACAAGATTTATGACGAATCTCTCCAAGTTGCAAGTTCCACTCCTTCAAAATTTTTTCGTTAAGTATGATTTTAGTTCATGCATTGTAATTCGTCTTTCTTTCTAATTTTAATAGGTTTTGATTTGAAAATTTAAAAGTGAATTAATACAATTATATTAACCTAATGACATTAATTTTAATTTTTTTAAGTTTGCTAAATCATAATTTAAGTGAGATTAAACTAAAATGTAAAAAAAATAGTCTAAATAACTTCATCATAATTTTAAAATGTGTTTAACAAATTAAAAAATTTAGTATAGTTAATTTAAAATATTATATTCGTTAATTTTTAAAATTTAAATACATAAATATAAAGTTTGAGACAAAAATTAATATTTCAATTTTACATATTTATCTATTTTTATTATTTTATTTCCAAAACCGTAATCAATACAGTTTTTTGAGTGAAAAACCTAATTCTTAATCCAACCGCAATTTAATTTATTTTGTTTCTTAATGCAGTGTAATAATGCTTTGATGAATAAATTTAGTTAGATGTTTTTGTGTATCTGTAATTCAGATAATTTATTTTTCTTATCTTATCTTCAATTATTAATTAATACTTTATGTACATGACGATTATTGCAGAATTATGATCTTGAGTGATTTTTTATTAAAAAGTATATCTTTATAAACATACTCTGCTAATTGTACCGTTCTTTGAATGATTTTTATAATCTAACAAAATGATGATATAGAGCTTATTTGACTTATACAGATAAAATACCAACATTTTAATAAAATACTGTCACAATTTATATGTAATTAAATTATTGAGATGTGTCAATTTTTTATTAATAACGGGTCTTTTTAATCATGTAATTAAATTATTTATATTAAAGAGGGATCTCTTTTACAAAGTTAAATTCCGAATTTCATTATAAAACAGCTATAAAAAAAATCAAACAGTAACTAAATTTCTTAATTGTATGGATTAAGAAAACTAAAGTTTTAGAAAATGCTACATTTAAAGAAAAAAGAAGACATAGTTATATAAAAGAAAATTACCATGGAAAGAATCAAGTCTCACGGTGTTGCAGGCGATAAGCTTTGCCGCAACACTGCCCCAATTGCCGCTACCAATAACAGTGACTTTATACATAGCTATGTTTTGGTTTAAGCGCAAGGGATAGGGAAAACAAGAGAGAAGCAGAGGAAATCCAAAACTGTGGCCTACAATACAACAAAACGCAGTTTAAAGAACATCCAATTGCACAAAACATTATATAAAGGAAGGGAAATGAAATTATTGCCATACACGTTTCGTCACAAACTTTCTAGCAGTTAATTGCGGTTATCGCGTACCTTTTATTGGTTCAGCGCGAATATCATTATATATATATATATATACACACGTTTCTGATAAAGGATAAGTAGACGTGAAAATTTAGTAGTTAAAGATATTTTAACAACATTTTTTTATAACATTTTAACATCATTTACGTATCATTATGTGATTAGTTTATATTGGTATTTATGATTAGGATAATGATATTTTGACAACATTTTAACATCACGTCTTATTTTGTAATTTATCCAAAATTACTTCACAATTAATAATAATAATCATAAAAATTAGCATGGACCAATAACAGAATGACACGTGGATGATGTTAAAATGTTGTCAAAAAAAATGTTGTCAAAGTATCATTATATTAGGATTATTATTATTGATTTTGGAGTAATTTTGGACCAATCACAAAATGACACGTAGATGATGTTAAAATGTTGTCAAAAATATATTGTGAAATTTAATTAATGGTCTTTAGATTAGTTTTGGTTCACCTTTCAATAAAGCCCTCTTTTAGACTTTTATTAGGGGTCAAGGAAAAGTTCTAATCTCCAAAACTCTTTTAAAATAATGTTAGGATCATGATTAAAATAAGATGATTTTATTATAAGTTATATAGTTATCTCATTGCTTGTATGTTTCAAATACTCACCAAGTTCAGAACAAGATTTATGACGAATCTCTCCAAGTTGCAAGTTTCAACTCCGTCAATTTTTTTCATACGTTAAGTATGATTTTAGTTCATGCATTGTAATTCGTCTTTCTTTCTAATTTTAATAGATTTTGGTTTGAAAATTTAAAAGTGAATTAATATAATTATATTAATTTAATGACATTAATTTTAATTTTTTTAAGTTTGTTAAACCGTATTTTAAATAAAATTTAAATTAAAATGAAAGAAAATAGTCTAAATAACTTTAACATAATTTTAATATGTGTTTAATAAGTCTAACAAAAATTAATATAATTAAACTAAAATTATTATATTTATTAATTTTCAAAATTTAAATACATAAATATGAAGTTTGAAATAAAGATAAATATTTTAATTTTATGTTTAAATTTAGAGATTAAAAATATATTTAATTATTTTTTATTTACTTTATTTTCAAAACTGTAATCAATTTATTTTTTGGAGTGAAAAACCTAATTCTTAATCCAATCTTCAAGTTAAGTTTGCAGCCGTCAATTTAGCCCCTCTTACATGGTTTGGCCTTGATCCACATGGGTTGAGACTACTAGAAAAATCCACATGACCAAAAAGTCTTTATAGAAAAAGTTCATAAAACTAAAATATCTACAAAAACCCCGTAGGTCAGGGCCAACCATAGAACTTTTTTTTAGAAAAAAATATTCATTTTGAATATAAAAAAATAGTGAGTTATTACATATTCATTTTGAAATATTTCTCATATTTTCGACCACAACACCATCTTTCATTTTATTATTGTTATTTTACTCATCAAATTCTTTTTTTTATATATACATAAAGTTCACTTTTTTAATAACTACTTTTTATAAGTGAGTTGTCAAGTAGCTCTTTTAGTGTCAACAAATCATTTTCTTTTGTCAAATAATCAAGTTTTCAACTTATTTTAAGTCTCTTATAATTATAAAAAGAATTGAAAGAAACATACAAAATTTACCATGAGCCTTTTTTTTAAATCAATTTTTTTTGTCTCAAAGTTGGCGGAAAAAACCATGGATATAGATCTCAGACAATCAGTTACATGCTTACTTGGGAATTATTCTTACCAAAAATGGATTGACTTAATGCTAGTTGGGTTAAAGATAGCATTCTCATGCAAAAGTTTGAGAATGGTTGGATCATCACACAGGTCAACATAGGTCGACCTAGGATGAAGGTCATGACGATTTGAGTCGAAATAAAGGTTGAGACAAACCGAAATAGGCTAAGGATTGAAACGAGTTGTGTAAGACCCAGGAAAAATAAATAACTAGAAGAGTGGTATGGATGTGGATGACATTAGTTAAAATAATAAAAGATAAACTACACCATAAAATGTAGCATAATTGGCTAGAGCTCTTTAATATGGATTGAAGCTCACATGTTTGATTCTTTTTGTGTGCATTGGATATTAATTATTTCGTTTTATTATTATATTTTTTGGACGTGTCGTGTGCGAGGCTATTTGTATTGTTTGTTGTGTATGTGAATAACAAGATAAAGGTATTTGTCTAATTTGGAAGGTGATTTAAGGTTTTACAATTTTTGTGAAAGGTGAAGAGATGAGAACAAATTCATTGTATCTTATTACATGTGTAAGATTGAGGAAATTGTAGTAGTTAGAGAATAAAGTGATTATGATACTTAAGTATTATTGTTTGGTAATTAATGTGTAATGCTTAGGTGTTTCTCTTTATGATTATAATTGTTATGTTTATTATTTAATGTTATCGTTGATTAGTAGAACACATGATTAGTATGTTGTTATTTTGGTGATTGTGTGTGTGATAGTATCAATGTATTGTGTTGATTTGTTGATAAAAGGATGATTTAATATTGAATAAGTGTGGGTTCAATTTTAGAAATGAAATGAGAAACTTAGATTTTAAGTGTATTTTTGGTCTAGGGGCAAAAGGGGTTTTTTTCTCCTTCATTAAATGGTGCAAAAATTAAGTTAGGGGCTGTAGAAAGTAAAAGAATAAAATTCAAATATGAAATTAAAAGATTACGTGAATCTTTTTAGAAGAGATAGTTGTTGATATATTTTACAAAGTAGTTGAGATAAAATATGAGAGAAAATCTTAGTGGGTTTTAGAAATAAAGTGAGAGATTTTATTAAAGCCAAAAAGATATAGATAGAATAAAAGAAGATAAAAGGAGAAGGGGAAACTAGGGTTTGTACATTGTTCTCTATATCTTAAAATGAAATTGAGAGAGATAAGGGAGAGAAAAGACGTTTTCTAGGAGAAAAGAGGAAGAGTTGTAGAAAATCGTAGTGGAAGGAAGGATTTTTGGTGTTTTTGAAGTTAGATAAAACCCTAGTATTGACCAAGGTATGAAAAAACTTACCTGTGTTTGTTTTCTTATTTTTTTTATGATGAATAAGGTTTGCTTTTGATTATCTTGAAAGGTAATGTTGTTTTAACGCATGTGGATGTATGAGAATATGTTTCTGCATGGTGATAAGGTTTATATCGTAGTTGTGTTGGGTTTTCCCTATGAATGTATGTATGCTTTTGTTGGGTTATTCCATAATAGGGTTTCTGATGCAAATGGGGTGGAGAAGCTCGAAGTTGCAGCGACTCAAAGCAAGGCAAGGGAAGCTTGCGCCGCAAAGTGATCACGGTGGCTCTCGAACTCGTGTTGGAAGAGGAGTTCTATGGTTCTGCTTTTCCTTTTTACAAGTTGGGATTATGAGGATGGAGGACGAAGGTGAACTCGAGATGAAGAAGAAGATTCGCGATTAGGTTTTGTGGAGGCACGATGGTTGCGTCTTGATTCTAGCTTCTGCATGTTAGATTTCGTGAAGAGGAGATTGGCGATGAAGGAGACTTTGGGATTTACATGTTCTATTTCACGACTCTTAATGGTGATTTGTGGTGGTTAGGGTTCAATGGTGCAAAGAGATCAAACCTGTGTTGGTTTCATGGCGCCGCAGGGCTAGTTTTGCATGGAGGAACGCTGATTGCGACTGGGTTCGTTTTGGTGCTAGGGATTTCTGCTGGTCTTTGTGATTTAGTTTTTTTAATTTTCTGCTTGTTGGTGTTTCTGGGCGAGATTCATATGTGAATGGCCGGAAAAGATGAACCTATGGTGGTTCTTGGTTGAAGATCAGTGGAGGTACGAAGAAGATGAACATGGTTGCGGTGTGAGATTGGACGTTGGTGGTTCTATTGCGCGAAGAAGATGATGATGATGATGATGAATGCTAGAATGGAGGTGCTGCCATGGTTGATGACCTGCCCTCGGGGTAGTGGAAACAACGACTGACAACGATAGTGACAACACATGAAGGCTAGAGTTCTAATGGAGGGAAAATTAGGGTTTTATAGAGATGAAAGATGATGCTGACGTGGCAGGGCTGATGTGGCAAGGTTAATGATGTGGTAGCTTCATAGTGGTCAGAGGTCGATTGGGACACATAGCAATATCTTAGAGTACCTGACTAATTAGTGGTGGAGGGGTGTATGCTTGTAAAACCAGGGGTGTCTTTAGCTATTTGTAATTTCCTTTCAAAATTTTGATTTTGGGCCTCATTTTATAACTTTGGATGAACTAATTTCATATTTTAAAAGAATAAAACTTTAATTTCAATTGCAAAAATAAACATTAGAATATTTAAAAATAATTTATGTAATTAAAAATTATTTTTTAAGCCCTTTTAATTTCTAAACCCAATAACTTTAATTATTACAAATCTTCTTCAAACTAACCATTTAAATAGAAAAGTTTTATCAAATTACAACATTAGTTATTATCTAACGTATTCTACTAACTTAAGTTGTTAGAATGTTTTGTATAATCACTTATCATAGTAAGACTCATATTTCACGTTATATACTTAATTACCTAAATACATAAATGAATAACAATCTTATAATAACCAATAAAAAATTCAACTATAGAAAAGCGGGAGAATCAAACTTTTTTTATATGTTTGTGTTTATTTCTTTTTGTCTATTTTAAAATCCTCCTTTATTGTTTTTATGTTCTAACATTTATTGAAAATATTTTATTGTAAGTTACATATTCAATTGAATTCATTGAAAGATTATTTAAGTCATTTTAATTCTATCTATATTCTTTTTGTTAATTTTATGTGCAATAAACATCTCATTTCAAAACACTAGACCATTGTGCATACCATTGAAAAATTACTGCAATGTTGTTTTATTAGAAGATTAACATCTGATTGTGAAAACCACTTTATCTTATTTTCTACCACTTTAATGTACGAGAAAAAAATTAAGAGAAAGAAAAATAATTTCTCTTTATTCTCTAAATAGTTATA